ATGTTCGAGTACAACCACTTCAGTGTGAAGCAGGGGACGATTTCCACATGTATGTAGCAATTCTATGTACAAACGAAGTATCTGCCTACTGCTCTGGATCCCCTAAGCCTCTGCAGGACTTTCTATTATTATACACTAATGGATGATAAGAAATATATACTAACACTTCACTTTAGAAACTAATATATAATCAATATACTTCATACTCTGCAATTCTTCCCTGTGAGGATGGTGAGGCACTGGCATAGGGTGCCCAGAGAAGCTGTGGCTGCCCCATCCCTGGGAGTGTTCCAGGTTGGATGGGGCTTGGAGCAACCTGGGCTAGTGGAAGGTGTCCCTGCCCATGGCAGGGGGGGGGACGAGATGATCTTTAAGGGCCTTCCAAACCAAACCATTCTATAAATCTATAACACAGTATTTGCTAACCTAAAATCAATGGATATAAATTACATTTAAATAAAATACGGTACCCAGCAACTTTTCACAGTTGCTTAGTGATTTGATCAGACTACTGTTTTAAACCAATCTTTTGTATGATCCTCCCCATATCAACTACTTCCTTCTACATTTAGCAAATCTTGCAATGCAGATAGAAACATCACCATGGGATACTCTTGATAAATAAAACACTCCCAAACACTCTGAGGTTTTTTCCTGAACTTTCTACTGACCTGACTGTCCTTGCAATCCACTATGGTCTAACTAATGTGTTATTGCAAACACTGTGCACAGACTAAAATATAGCTTTAAAAAACCCTACTTTTTCTCTATTTTTCCAAACATCACAGCCAGGTACATTGTAAAACAAAGGAATTAATTTTAAAAACTACAATAATTCCCAAATGGTGTTAAACATTATTTTTTACATGTCCTGAGGCACTGCTGTTTTAAGCACAGCACCCTGAAAACAGCTGTGTAGTTTCTCTCAGGTAGAAACTGAGGCACAAGCTAGAAAAGCACAATATTCCACTTGTTTTTATTGCCTTTATATTGGCTTACAACTTAATTCTAGCAAGGCAGGAAAAATAAAGGTATGACAGGGCTGAAGAGTTAAGCTCTGATTGTTTAGCTTTTAAAACGAAGCTTGAAACATCTTCCTTGATCTGCAGCTCACAGCTAGAAAAGAGAACAGATACAGCTCATCTGACCTACTGACAAAACTACAGTTTGAGTCATCTGACCAAAAAACTACACATTTAAAACGCACATACTCCTGGCATAATGTGCTACAACTCGAATACAAAAAGAACTGCACTTTTTTCCTGTCTAAAAGCCACAGTGAACAAAGTTATGTCTAGGTTATTGTACCACAACCCTTATAACTTGGTCACGTTCAGTAGTAACCAAAACCACACGAACATCCAGGCAGTCACTCCCTGGCAGGCACTGGAAAATTAAAGGAGTTCCTTTTCCAGCAGCACCTTGGGACTCTGAGTCTTAATAACAAACCTTGTCACTCCTCCATGTAAAAGGTTGCATATGAGTTTGTTCATTAAACCCTGATAAAACCATATGTAAAATGTATAAGGCAAATATATTCAGAAAACTTTAGAGAAATATTCTAAGTAAAAGAATTTACTTAGCACTTAGAAAGGGGGGGATGAAACAAAGAAGCTAAAAAGAAAAAAGACTAATCAGTGATAGACTGGGAGTTTCTTACTAAGCAGCTGGCGCAGCTGGCGTCACCTGTTTGTTTGTCCTTGCCCTACACTGACATGCACACTTCAAAGAGAGGAGATACTAACCAGGGCCAAGAAGGAAGTGATATGAGGAATGGGCCCCAAGAAAGGAATTTAGGGATGTGCCAGCCGGGCAAACAAAGTAAGATCCAAAAGGTAATTAAAAACCTGCTGAAGCGAAACAAGTCAAGGTAGAAGCTCACAGCAGGATGTTATCTATCTTGCCAGATGTGTAGAACACTAACCTTAGGATTGCTTTAGCTTATTAACACAAGGAATACCGCAAGTTAAGCCATATATGTAAAAAGCCTAACTGTAGAATAGAAAATCTCCAGCTCTACGATCACAAGGAGGCGGGAACAGACTCCCTAGCAACAACGGGAACAGCGTCCCTAGCAACAGCTCGCGCAGGCGCAGAGTGCACTGGAAGAGCTACACGG